CAAACAAACAAACAAACTAATGCTATTACCAATATTTCAGGAATGTGTCTTAAATATGAATAACAATAATATATTTGCTCATGTCTTCCCTGTTACTAGTACGAGTTTCTTCATGTAATCGTATCTATTGTTTGTAAAATAATTGTCACAATGAATGTGATCATTTTGGGCATTTTGATGCAAAGGTGTTTTTTTTTACATCCTCTTGTTTTAAACAAAAAATAATTGGAATTTATAATATTTTATTAATGAAAAGGCTATAATCACTGTTGTAAAATAATGTTAGTTAACCCCCCCCCAAGATTTATGTAAATTAGTCATCCGATGATCCGGCGTGTGATTTAAAATGCAAATTATTGATCATTTATCGCATGCTCGTAAATGGACACTTGGTTTTAGATCTTTACAGCACAAGAAGTGTCACTTGAACATTCGCGTTTTTAATGTGTCGAGGCACTTGACGACACATCACCAAAGAACATTCTATGCATGCTCCATCTGACGGAAATCCAGAGAACTTGCAGGTCTCTCCATTCTGTAAAATTCCCTCTTTTTCACCAACTAATTTCAAGCTAGGACTAATTGAACCAACATATAAGAGTATAAATGTGGTAACATTTGGCTACTATAATGTGTGGCGATTGGTCGATACGTCTGACAATGCTTATTTCTTCCCATACCATATGTATACCGTTGTAATATTTGTTATGTGTGAAAGAAAATGGGACTGGATCTGATTCCATATTCTTTTCAAATGAATATACACGTCTTATCTTGTGGCAGTGTGAAGTGTGAATCAAGTGTTTATAATATTAGTCCTTGTGTCTTTGGTCCACTAGACGAGGTGTTTAGTGTCTAGCTGTTAATGGAATGCTTTTCTCAGACGCTTTACAGACGGGCCTTCTCTAGAATGTCTGTATTTGTACATATTACAATATATACGTATCTGTACACATGTCGTAATGTATGTATCTGTACACACGTCATAATATATGCATGTATTTGTTTACATGTCATAATATATGTATGTTTCTCTATACATACCACAATGTATGTGTCTATACATTTGTCACAATTTATTTACTTGTACACATGTCACAATAATATTTACCTATGTATGTGTCTGTACACATGTCACAATGTATGTATGTGTTAATAATGTTGACATTTATATATCTTTGTATTTTTCAGTTTGTGTTCAAGTAATAGGAATATTAACAACTATTATCGACTTGTGATAAGCTTTCCTAGGACTGTTTATTTCAGGATAAATTAAGTAATATACCAATATGTTACAGGTCAGTTGCTAATGTCCACACCTCGTGGAACTGTCACATGTCAGCAGGGACACAGTATTTTGGGATGATGCTTATTGGATCTTCTTCATCCAAAAAAATAGATCTATGATTCTTCTGACGATTCTGTGTTCAGCTAGTAAAGTCGTCATGCCAGTCCTTGTTCGTACCTCAGCATGATGTCACGTTATTGAAACCACCTAATTGTGTCTTCTTTACATCTAATTATGACCTACGAACAATTTGATTCACTTTAAACTCTGAGATGTATTTCGAAGTAGCAAGTGTGACAAGATTATATGAGGCCATTGCATAAAGTATAAACTGGTTAGCAAATCATTTGTACTTCAGATCACAAACTGATCATTAGATTGCTGATTTGTATAACAATGAACTGAAGGGGGCGATTGCCATTTTCATTATTTGATAACAGCTGTAATACATATATTTAAAATTCCAAATTGTTCTGTAATTGTTTTAAACGACTTTTTCGGAAATGGTTACATCGGGAAAATATTTATTCTATCGAAACTAAAAAACGTAGACAAAAAGAGGACAAATGACTACTACATACGAGACCATATAATTATATGAAATACCAATTATTTATCAAAAATTTATTCAAATGTGAAAATAAGTTAAACATTTTTGTAACATGTAAGGAAAAAAAAAAGATCGATTTATCTAGTTACCCTCGCCCCCGGAGAGGGGGGGGCGAGAATATTGGAAATTTTACACAAGATGGGAAGTCACTGGGACAATAATCCCTAAATTTGGTCAAGATCCAAATCCGGGGGGGATAAGATATTTTCGTTGTTTGGGGTTAATAACTTTGTAAAGTGTAATCGGATTTGAACCAAATTTCATGGGAACATTTAGGTTGAGACTCCTCATGAGACTACAAAAAATGATCCAAATCGTTGATCATTCTGGATCGGAGAAGGATTTTTTTTGAGTTTCCAATGTAGAAATTAGACGTTATCTAATATAAACGCATGCAATCTCCAAATGGATTTGGTTTGTTTTGAATTTCGCGCAAATCTAGCCGTCCCTAATTTGGCAGTGAAAAACTGGAGGGAAGGCAGTTAGTTATCACCACCCACTGCCAACTCTTGGGCTACTCTTTTACCAACGAATAGTGGGATTGATCGTCACATTGTGACGTCCCAACGGTTGAAAGGGCGAGCATAATTAGTGGAACGGGGATTCGAACTCGTGGCTTTCAGATTACGAGTCAAGCGCCCTAACCACCTAACCATGCCGGGCCGACTGAGAGAGAGCTGGAAGAATTCAAGTTTACTTAGTAATTAACTGACCGTTAGATGTCGTTATTAAAAAATCATAGTTTTCTTCACTTGAATAGGATCTGCGAAGCGAGGGATGCAATAGATATTCAAAACTGTGTTAAGAAAAATAATTATAATTCCAAGTGTCCTGTTTTCTTAATTTTACATACAGGTCCCACGTGTGTCAGTATAGCAAACACGTTGACAGTTCAGCTTGGAAGAGAACCTGATCTTATACCTGATGACGTATTAACCTTTCTGCCTGGTAACGGACTTTACAACCGAGACGTTCCTCCAGAATTAGGGTTAGAAGCTACTGGAACGGTTACAGTAAAAGAGGCAGACAGTCCGGTAAGTCATGTTCTACATTATGTTACACTACTAACATCTTCATACCAAATGTGCTAGATTCTGTTAGACTAACAAGTTTCAACAGAAAATACGCTACATTTTGTTACAATAGTAATTTCTTTGCACAAAATGCGTTACGTAATATTAAACACGTCATTTCTAAGCAGAAAATGAGTTACATATAGTTAAAATTTTCATTTCTTTACCCAAAATGCGTTACATAAATTTAAACGTGATTTATTGGTACAAAATGCGTTACATAAAGTTAAACTCGTGAATTTGTAGTACAGAATGAGTTACATAAATTTAAACTCGTCATTTCTTGGTACAAAATGCGTTACATAATGTTAAACTCGGGATACTTTGGCATAAAATGCGTTGGATAAAGTTAAAGTTTTGATTTCTTAATTGAAAATGCGTTACATAAATTAAATTTGTGATTTTTGACAGACAATGCGTTACATAAAGTAAAAGTCGTGATTTCTTGGTAGAAAATGCGTTACATATTGTTAAGCTCGTGATATCTTGGTACAAAATGCGTTACATATTGTTAGCTTGTGATTTCGTGGCAGAGAATGCGTTACAAAATGTTAAATTTATGATATTTGACACAGAATACGTTACATAAATATACACTCATGATTTCTTGGCACAAAATGCGTTACATAATGTTACAGTTGTGGTTTTTGACAGAAAATGCGTTATATGAAGTTAAACTCGTGAATTTTGATACAAAATTTGTTACATAATATTAAACTCGTTCATTCTATGAAGGAAATGCGTTATACAAATTCAAACTCTTGATTTCTTGACTGAGAATGCATTACATAATGTCTAAGTCATACATTTTTCGTACAGACTGCGTTACATAATGTTAAATTCATTATTTCTGACACAGAATGCATTACATAATTCGTGAATTTTTAGTACAGAATGTGTTAAATAATGTTAAACTCGTGATTTCTTGGTAATAATGCGTTACATATTCTTAAATTCGTGATTTCTTGGCTGAGAATGCATTACATAATGTTTAATTCGTGAATTTTTAGTACAGAATGCGTTACATAAATATCAACTCGTGATTTTGTAGTATAGAATGAGTTACATAAATATTAAAATCGTGATTTCTTGGCAGAGAATGCGTTACGTAATGTTAAATTGATTATTTTTGACACAGAATGCATTACAAATTACTCGTGATTTTTCATAAAACTTCGTTAGAAAAAGTTGAAGTCTTGATTTTTGATACAAAATGCGTTACATAATCTCTAAGTCTTAAATATGTAGTTGAAAATGCGTTACATAAAGTGAAACTCGTGATTTCTTGGTACGAAATGCGTTATATAATGTTAAACTCCTGATTTCTTGGCACACAGTGCATTACGTAATATTAAACTCGTGATTTTTGGTAGAAAATATGTTACATAATGTTAAACCCGTGAATTATATGACGGAAATGCGTTATACAACTTAAAACTCATTATTTCTTTGTACAAAATGCATTACGTAATGTGAATCTATCGATATATTGGTACAAAATGCGTTACATAATGTTAAACTCGTGATTTCCTGTTATATAATATTAAATTCATGATTTCTTGGCATAAAATGCATGTTGTAATGTTAAATTCAATATTTTTGACACAGAATGCCTTACAAATGCTATACTCGTGATTTTTACAGAAAATTCGTTACATAAAGTGAAACTTGATTTTTGACACAAAATGCGTTACATAATGTCGAACTCTTGAATTTGTAGTACAAAATGCGTTACATAAAGTGAAACTCGTGATTTCTTGGTACAAAATGCGTTACATAATGTTTACTCGTGACTTCTTGTTACACAATCTTAAATTTGTTATTTCTTGGCACAGAATGCGTCACGTAATCTTAAAATTGTGATATGTTGACAGAGAATGCATTACTTAATGTTAATTTCATGATTATGACATAGAATACGTTACATAATGTTACAGATGTCATTTTTGACAGAAAATGCGTTACATAAGGTTAAACTCGTGATTTCTTGTTACAAAACGCGTTACATAATATCTAATTTGTGAAATTTTACTACAGAATATGTTACATAAATTCAATCTCGTGATTTCTTGGCAGAGAATGCGATACAAAATGTTAAATTCATGATTTTTGACACATAATGCGTCACATAATGTTAAACTTTAATGGCACACAGTGCATTACGTAATATTAAACTCGTGATTTTTTGGTATAAAATGCGTTACATAAAGTTAAAGTCGTGATTTCTTGGCACAGAATGCATTACATAATGTTTAACTCGTGAAGTTTTCGTACGGAATGCGTTACGTAATCTTAAAATCGTGATTTCTTGGCAGAGAATGTGTTACATAACGTTAATTCGTGATTTTTGATACAGAATGCGTCACATAATGTTAAACTCGTCATTTCTTGGCACACTGTGCATTTCGTAATATAAACTCGTGATTTTTTTGTAGAAAATGCGTTACATAATGTTAAACTCATCAATCATATGATGGAAATGCGTTATACAAATCTAAACTCCTTATTTCTTGGTACAAAATGCATTACATAATGTGAATATCTCGACATATTGGTACAAAAATGCGTTACATAATGTTGACCTCGTGACTCCTTGGTACAGAATGCGTCACATATTCTTAAATTCGTGATTTCTTTGGTGAGAATGCA